GCTTCCTCTTCATGTTTGTAGCATAGTCATGTGCGAGCCGGTGCAACTGTTTATTCTCATGCTTGAGCCCTCTAATCTCCTGTTTGAGACTCATCACTTCAGCCGCCAATGATTCAACTTGGCGGGTTCGAGCAAATAGGCGTTGGGCCATATTAGACACAGAACCTGCACACTGAACACTGAGAGCCAGCGAATCCTTAACAGCTAACTCATCAGACCGTTTGGAAAGTAGTCTGTTATCTTTGGGAGTGAGAAGGTTCCTGGCCACCACCGCAGCGGTCATATCATTCTTCATCACGGAATCCCCAACGGTAAGAGGACCAGTAGGGGAGACGAAGGATGGGCGCCATATGTTGTCTGGAGAAGGCGGGGCTGCCTCTTCAACAAGGTTCAAGTCAAAACGACGGTCGGAGGGGCCAGACATTTTCAAAGGTGTTGAAGAGAGAAGAGGTCGGACAAATCAAGATCTTAGAAGTGCAAGAATGAAGCTTCTACTGGTGGAGATTCAAGTGTGCTTTGGAACTTAATGCCAGCCCCTATAAAAATCTGCACTCGACGGAGCTTCAGAAATCGAAGAGGCGCCTGCTTCAGAAATCGAAGAGGCGCCTGCTCAGAAATCGAAGAGGCGTTTGCTTTCTCAAAAGCTGGGCTGCTTAGAGATCACGAGGGTTGATCTCAGAAATCGAAGAGGCGTTTGCTTTCTCAAAAGTTGGGCTGCTCAAAGACCACACGAAGGCCGATCTCAGAAATCGAAGAGGCGCTCGCTTTCTCAAAAGCTGGGCTCCCCAGAGACCACGAGGGCCGATCTCAGAAATCGAAGAGGCACCTACTTTTCCCAGCCTTGTCAGCACCTGTCACACGCACACTCAGCTTTGCGGAAATTATGGGCATTCTGTCGAAGACTTCTGGGGAAGTAGAAAACACATGAATCTTACTGTTCAATCACCCACTTCCCACACGCAACAATAGCTCATGGGTACCACAGATAACTTTGCCAAAGTTCTCTGCCAAAGTTGAGCACGTGAAGCTTGCAGCTCCCACTACATCGCTCTGACCAAGAAGGGTAAAAGAATAGCAAAGAAACAGCACTAACAAAGTTTAGACCCATAAATTTTGAAGGTCTAGCTACCATATTATTACCCACAAGGGTAAAGGAACAGTACCACTGCTGGATAATTGGAAAGTCCCTGTGTGTCAACCTCTGTGCTTCGTGGCAAGGTAGACTAGCAAACATGCCCAACCTTTACTCACATTCGAGAAAACACTCCCAATAAGATTGCTTGCTCCAAAATCGAAGAGGCACCGTCCTCCAAATCTCGAAAGCCAGACTCCCAACATGACTACTTTATTAAAAATCGAAGAGAGGGTAAAGGAACAGTACCATTGCTGGATAATTGGAAAGTCCCTGTGTGTCAACCTCTGTGCTTCGTGGCAAGGTAGACTAGCAAACATGCCCAACCTTTACTCACATTCGAGAAAACACTCCCAACAAGATTGCTTGCTCCAAAATCGAAGAGGCACCGCCTTCCGAATCTCGAGAGCCAGACTCCCAACATGATTACTTTCTCAAAAATCGAAGAGACACTGCTCCCCGAATCTTCGAGAGCCAGACCCCCAGCATGATTGCTTTCTCAAAAATCGATGAGGCATCGTTCTCCGAATCAATCGAAGAGGCGCTCGCTTTCTCAAAAGCTGGGCTGCTCAGAGACCACGAGGGCCGATCTCAGAAATCGAAGAGGCACCTACTTTTCTAGCCTTGTCAGCACCTGTCACACGCACACTCAGCTTTGCAGAAATTATGGGCATTCTGTCGAAGATTTCTGGTGAAGTAGAAAGCACATGAATCTTACTGTTCAATTACCCACTTCCCACACGCAACAATAGCTCATGGGTACCACAGATAACTTTGCCAAAGTTGAGCACGTGAAGCTTGCAGCTCCCACTAAATCGCTCTGACCAAGAAAGGTAAAATAATAGCAAAGAAACAGCACTAACAAAGTTTAGACACATAAATTTTGAAGGTCTAGCTACCATATTATTACCCACAAGGGTAAAGGAACAGTACCACTGCTGGATAATTGGAAAGTCCCTGTGTGTCAACCTCTGTGCTTCGTGGCAAGGTAGACTAGCAAACATGCCCAACCTTTACTCACATTCGAGAAAACACTCCCAACAAGATTGCTTGCTCCAAAATCGAAGAGGCACCGTCCTCCGAATCTCGAGAGCCAGACTCCCAACATGACTACTTTCTCAAAATCGAAAGAGAGGGTAAAGGAACAGTACCATTGCTGGATAATTGGAAAGTCCCTGTGTGTCAACCTTTGTGCTTCGTGGCAAGGTAGACTAGCAAACATGCCCAACCTTTACTCACATTCGAGACAACACTCCCAACAAGATTGCTTGCTCCAAAATCGAAGAGGCACCGCCATCCGAATCTCGAGAGCCAGACTCCCAACATGATTACTTCCTCAAAAATCGAAGAGACACTGCTCTCCGAATCTCGAGAGCCAGACCCCCAGCATGATTGCTTTCTCAAAAATCGAAGAGGCATCGTTCTCCGAATCTCGAGAGCCAGATACCACAGACCACTTTTTCAAAGTGCTCTGACAGAGTTAAAACATGTGAAACTGGACAGCTCCCACTACCGTGCTATGACCAAGCAGGGTAAAGGAATAGCATTACTACTTGTTGTTAGGGAGACTCCTATATATGTCGACCTCCATCCCCAACGGACAGGCAGACCTGCAAAAATGCTCAACCCTTCATCATATCTGAGAGGGCACTCCCAACGAAGCCTTTCGAAATATTCAGCTTTCTTTCCCCCCGATAATACCTCTGCAAACAAGCTATACTAGAGCAAGAATATCTCATATCATCAGGGTTAAAAGCAAGAGTATCCCATATCATGCTTTTTCCCTGTCTTTTCCTTTGGCCTTGTTTTTACCTGCAAGACAAGGAGAAAGAGAGCAATCAGTCAGCACTTGGAATCAAGCTTCCAGCCAGGAACTGACTGCCTGGAACCCCTTACCTGATTACTTACCTGGCATTGCTCTCGAGTACTCATCTTCAACATCTTATGTTTCCAGGGAAGATTCCGCATCTGCTTGAGGAACAGATAGGGCAAGTGCGAAGGATACAAGGAAGCATGTGGAGACAAGCGTAACAGCACACGTGCCGATACATCCATTACTCTGTCAAAAGCAAAAGTATCCCATATCAGCAGGATGGAACGTACTCTAGATTTGATGGACTTGTTTTGACCCTCAAATTCTTCAGTCGGCCTTATACTCTGGAGGAAACCAGAAAACCCTCCAGCTCAGTTCAAGAATAAGCCTGTGGAAAGTTACTTCTTCAAAAGCAAAAGTATCTCATATCATCTCTTCTCATTTTTCTTCTCTTTATCCTTCATGCTGTTGCAAGATGGGGAGAAGGTGAACAATCAGTCGGAGCTCTGATTGCTTACCTTGTCTGTCACCTCTTTCAGCAGACCCCCTAGCTCGGCGACTTGGGGGACTCCTACTACATGGTTTGTATCGCGCTTGACCAAGCCTGAAACTACAAGTAAGCTTCAAGTGAAATTGATACATTACCTTGTGCATCTCCACCAGTTAAAGATACCACCCCTGGATGGAGGAAAAGTACTTCCAGAGAAGATGCCACATCTACCTATGAGACAGATTAAGGCAAGTCAAGACGACACCACACTCCGATACTTAGAAGTTTCGTGATTACGAAATCATTCTCCCACAATATTTCCTAATGTCATTTGTACTAAATCATTCACTTGTACTCACTAAAGGAGAGCTTGAACCTATGTACTTGTGTAAACCCTTCACAATTAATGAGAACTCTTCTATTCCGTGGACGTAGCCAATCTGGGTGAACCACGTACATCTTGTGTTTGCTTTCCTATCTCTATCCATTTTATATACTTATCCACACTAATGACCGGAGCAATCTAGCGAAGATCACAAAAAGCGACCGTTTTCGCTACCTAGGATCTATCTTGCAAGAGAACGGAGAATTAGATGGAGATCTCAACCATAGAATACGAGCTGGATGGATGAAGTGTAAGAGCGCATCCAGCGTGTTGTGTGACCGTCGTAGGCCACTGAAGCTCAAGGGAAAATTTTATAGGACGGCAATAAGGCCAGCGATGTTGTATGGCACAGAATGTTGGGCGGTGAAGCATCAACACGTACACAAAATGGGTGTAGCGGAGATGAGGATGCTTCGTGGGATGTGTGGGCACACGAGAAAGGATAAGATTGGGAATGAGGATATCCGAGGTAAAGTAGGAGTAGCCGAAATTGTAGGAAAGATGAGAGAAAATCGGCTCCGGTGATTTGGACATGTGCAAAGAAGGCCGACTGACGCTCCGGTTCGAAGATGTGACTACGGGACAGAGGTTCAGGGCCGAAGGGGTAGAGGAAGACCTAGGAAAACTTTGGAAGAGACTCTAAGAAAAGACTTAGAGTACTTGGATCTAACGGAGGACATGACACAAAACCGAGCGCAATGGCGTTCTAGGATTCATATAGCCGACCCCACTTAATGGGAAAAGGCTTTGTTGTTGTTGTTGTTGTTGTTGTTGTATCCATTTGTGCCCCCATATCGTTGTCATTTGTTGTTCTCATGATTAAAATGGATAAAAATTAAATGAAAATTTTTAAAGTCTAACGTCAAGAGGAAATTGGCTATTTATAAAAATTCAAAAGTAATCGACTAAAATTAAAATTCAAATGAGAAATTGGCTAATTATAAAAGTTCAAAGAAAATCGATTAAAATTATAGTTCAAAATGAAAAATTGACAGTTCTATACAATTTTAAGGAACAAATCCATATATATACTTGGAACAAATGTTTGATTTTTCTACTAATACTTTCGTTAAAAACTTTGAAGAGACGTGTGATATTTTTTTTTATCTAAAAAAAATTATATATATCACACGTCCTTTCAAAGCTTTTAACGAAAATATCACACGTACCTTCAAAACTTTAGAGCAAACGTGTGATATTTGACTGAATAGTGAACACCTTTTTAAAATTTTCGGGCCAATTAGACATGCACTTCGGAGTCTGGAATACCTCTCTTTAATCTTTGTTTGCTCCTACCCTCTCTCAGGACTTTCATCAAGCACCTGGCAGTGGCACATCTGGGCATTCAGTAGTGGAGCAAAGATGGGTGTGGGTCTATCAGTTCTGATAGGGTTGAAAGCAGCAGTCTTGTTCTCGTTGTTTGCATTCCTCAGAAGCTCTGGTTTCACTGTGCTTTCCATACCATTTTTGTACGCCGCTCTGGTATCCGCGTTGGTTTCACTTGCTGCTCACCCATCCATAGACCTTCCCATGCTGCTGGGGAAGAACCCAGATGGGAGTTTCCCCGTTTGGTCGATTATAATGTTCAGCCCCTATTTGTATTTCGTTCGCTTTTTCTCGGCGCTGCGGAGATTGCGGAGTAGGGAGGCTCCGTATACTGAAATCTGTGAGGGTTTGTTCGTCGGCGGGTGGCCTTCTTCGCCGGATAAACTTCCACCAGGGGATCCTGCTATTGTTGATTGCACTTGTGAATTGCCAAGAAAGCCTGAGTTTTCAGGGCATTCTTATTTGTGTGTGCCAACATGGGACACAAGGGCTCCTCCACCGGCTGCCATTGAATCCGCTGTCAAGTGGGCTTGCCGGAAAAGGGATCAGAATAGGCCTGTTTTCGTCCACTGCGCGTACGGTATGCCGCCTAAATTTAGTAATTTTTCATTTTGGTAATGATATAGATTCACTTGTTTTGCAATGCATGTATATGTGTGTATATTTCAAAATTGTTGCAATGCGACGTGTCTAGCGGGATTAGCTCCTAGATTTCTATATAGGTGAATAAGTAAGGGGTAGTTGTGGTGCAATGCACATAAGATCGCCTTAGGATTAAGCCCTATGGAGGTACTTATTAATCAACCACTGCTCTGCTCGCGCGCATGCTCGTGGTAGATAAGAAACGGGGTATGGAGTACATGCAGAAAGCTTTCTTAAAATTTTGTCACTCTTCTTTTGTGAAACAAATTCCACGAAACCACTTTCTCAGTGAACTCTTTAGTTTCACCGGGCGCAACATCCAAACACTTGCGCCTGCAGTCATCAACAAATCTTCTCAGGTTTCATTCATGTAGCCTCAAGCCTAATATTCCTGCCTCTTAACCTTTCAATTTGGAAAATTGTTGCAGTTGCTATTTTTTTCCACTTCCATCGGCCAAAGCCCCTTGCTCAACACTATGTTTGATGGTTCATGTCCTCTGATAGAATTGGAAGCACATTCATAGCGAACATGTCATGGCTTTGTTTAATCATCCAAATAGGCATCTTCTCCTGAACACCCAGAAAGCCCTCAGCGGCTTGCTGCCCCTTAATTTCCTAGGACAGTTACTTAAGTTGAGGTTGACAAGTTGTATCTCATACAAAAAGTCTGTAATAACATTGACAAAGTTGGTTGGTTTACTTACCACTATTCACACAAGCTTAAGCTGTTTAGATGTGGTTCAAGGGTTTTGTATTTTAGCATTCTCACTCACAAGTGGGTCACTCTCCACTTTTTGAGATCAATATGTGGAATCAAACTTATATAGGGAGGATTAAGTTACAGGGATTCAAACTCAGGGAGGATTAAATTACATGGATTCAAACTCAGGGATGATTAAATTACAGGTATTCAAACTCAGTATTTCCTGCTCTAATACCATGATGAAGGTTGTTAGTTTACCACTATTCCCAAAAGTTTAAGCTGTTAGAACTGGAATATGGACCACCATTGTTCTATATTTTAATTACATTCCTTATTACTATTTGGTTAACTTGTGCCTTCTTGTAGCAAATCAAGTCAGCATCATCCATTGTTTACAGATTACCACTCGGCACTTATATGAAATTTAAATACCTTTAAAGGAGTCACACAAAAAGAACAAAAATAATTAAACAAGTGTAGGTGTATTATAATTGCAGCACAACAAGAGGGTGAAATGATTCGATTAGCTCTGGGCTCTTCGTCACATCTTTGGAACACTCAGTACTCTGCACTAATGTATTGTCTTAGAAAAAGAAAAGGAAAGAGGAAACTTAATGGTAATTTATTGTTTTGGTTCAGTTTCCCTTGAAACCATTCCGAATGTCTCATTTTTGAAGCCAGATAAGACCTCCAGTAATTTCTTATGGAGAAACAAAGCTGTCACTGCTATTGGTTTTTAGAAATACAAGTCACACACAGTTATTAAATTTAAGTTTGCACTTACACGTGTATTTCTGAGCATGATCCTGGATTTACCCTGATGTTATGTGCGGAATTATTCAAACTTTTAGCCACTAGATTTATAGCTTTTCTTTGAGAGAATTTGTTGAGGACATCACTGAAAAACCATTTAAGGTTTAACAAGTAAAGAGATGGAAGAAAAGATGATTTCATTCAATATTATCTTTGTGGTTGGATTACATTCCTGGATTGTTTATTTGTTTCCTGTGGATTTTAGTTTCCCTGTTTTAGTTAGGATTTGGCTTAGTTTTCTATACAAGTTTGGTACGCTCTCTATTGAAGCTTCTTGTTAAGGTTTTGAGTTTTGACTTGTTTCATTAAGATCTGTGCTATATATAACACAGCTATTTTGCTATAAAATAATACCTAAGGCATGCAGTTATACTTGAATTTGGGAATGACTTGGAAATTCAAACAAGATGGAGCTGCCCGGGTTTATAGAATTTATGATTTAAACTTAAAAAGGCCAAGCTTGGAGGTTTCGGGTGATTAAGGTCACGTCCCTACATATATAATCCTTAAGACTGTAACCTTTAACTATCTGGTTGAAAAGAAAACGAAATGCTGTGTACTGAAATGGTTCTGGACTCAAATCAATCTAAATTCTGAATCCATTTTCCCTCAAACCGAAATCATTATAAAAATTTTGTCAACAAAGAGTATCAAAACTCTCTTTTCAATGTGCTTACAATGTTTGATATGAATACTGTAAAGTAAACAGTTAAATCTAAATCCTTCAATTCAAATACACAAATAATGCAATCATAGTGAAATGATTGCAAACAGTTCCCATTTAAGTTGTTAAGTTTCTTCTCTAACTGGTGCGATTCTCAACATCCCTTTCTGTGAGAATCCTTTGTGTATTTTGTAACAAAATTCCGCTGTCTGTTTCTTCATAGTATTGATATTTGATTTCTCAACTATTTGAACGGGTGGAGGTAGTGAGTTGTAACTAGAAACTCTTTTGTAATTTCCTGTTTAGGTCATGGGAGAAGTGTAGCTGTCATGTGTGCACTACTAGTTGCTCTTGGGGTGGCAGAGGACTGGAAAAATGCTGAGAAACTAATTCGAGAGAAACGTCCTTACATTAGGATGAATGCTCTACACCGCATGGCTCTGGAAGAGTGGTCAAAACATCGTTTATCTCCTTATAAGAAGAATTGATAAATTAAGGTAATAGACAGCCATGGTTTCCTGTGGTGCCAGTCGAACTGTTGACCCGGTGAACCTCATGTGGAACATGAAGCCACCAGGCTACAAAGAGACCGGCGACAGCCATGTATGCTGATGCTACTGTTAAGTCGGGAAACTAAAATTAGTCCTTACAGACTAAACAATAATAATCAATATTTCTTGAACAACTTAATGTGTATAATTATGCATAAACATGATCTGCATTTGTAAGATATATACTCAACTCAACCCCGAGGTTTTTTTCCAGGTATTTTGTTCCTTCTTTCATCTCCTCTCTCCCTTCTTTGAGCATTTAACATCCCAAATTTGTTGCTGCAATTGGTTGGGCACCATTGCACAATAAAAACTACAGCTAGTTTTCATTTTAGTACCGTCAAGGTTTTCTAATTTTCGCTTTTAGTACCCAGAGTATGTATGTCCCACCGTCGTACTCAAACATTGATTTTTCTATCAAGTAATGCTAGGGAGACTAAATTTATAGATAAAATTTGCAAACTAAATGATGTGTCACCAATGCAAAATGAGCAAGTTTATCAAGCTTAAGTAATAATCTAATCATCAACTTTCATGTCATTTAATTTACAAATTTTATCTACAAATTTAGTCTTCTTAATATTACTCTTTTTCTACCTCTTACACACCTTTATTAGTCATTGTCTCAATTGTTAATTGATGATGGTTAACCAATGTTCTAAAAATCGGTCTAGGCGGCTGTCTAGGCACTCGGCGGAGGAGTCCCGACCCGATTTAGGCCAAAACGTTCATGTAAGGCGAGGAAGATTTAGGCGTCTGCCTAGGCGCTAGCTAGGCAGTCTGGGCGGTTCTTAGCGGTTGTCTAGGCGGCTTTGCAACTCTTTCATAGGCTCTGCAACGCCCAATCTCAAAGTGGAGCCTCGATTGAAATCCTGCAGCTCACTGTTTGTGAGTAGAAGAGGAAAGAGAGAATGCAAAAAGAGGGAAACTCTTAACTTTTAAGGTATTAATCCATGGCAGCGCGATCTGGAATTGAGATCCAATTCGACATTCTGATGACTAAAGGAAGAAGAAGAAGACACGGAAAAACTCAGATGGGAAGAGTGTTCCACTCTCCAACGGGTGTGATAATGATACGGGCTTTGGAAATCTTAGGTGGTGTGACAAAGTTAGGGTGGAGGGGTCGGAAACACAAATGGAATGTGATATTATTTGGTTTTAAACTTTAATAACCACACACTACCATTACGTGGGATTTATTGGAAATCTTGGGTGGCATGACAGAGTTGGGGTGCAGGGGTCAAAAACACAAATGGGATGGGAATTTTTTTTTTTTTTTTTTTTTTTTTTTTTTTTTGAAGGGATGGGTTGTTATTTGGTTTTTAATCTTTAATAACCACCCGCTACTTCTACATGGAGTTTTTATCATTTCAAACAGCTTGGAATATACATACATTATATACATATATATGTGTGTGTTATATTTATATAAAGTATTGGGATAATGTTTTATTATTTTTTTACTTAATAGAGTCACACACATATATATATATATACACACACATATAATTTTTAATAAATTGTGTGTTTTTTTTATTTTTTTAGTTTCATGGTGGTATTCTTATGAAAATGGTGTACCTAATTTGTAAATGATGGATTGACTACAAGTTTATCCAATTGTGAAATGATTGGAGAACTTTTAGGGGATACATACAAGTATAGTTTCTTTTTTAGTGTAAATAAGCACTTATTTACAAGATATATAATAAATTTACATAAATCCGCCTAGACCACCTAGGTGCTAAGCCCTTACCCACCGCCCGACTAGCGCCTAGCGTTTTTTAGAACCTTGCGATTAACTGATGATTGAACTTGGATATTGTGTTCACATACTCATTTTTACATTCTACACACCCTTGTTAATTTTTGAATCTTGATTTTCTTCAATTCATTTTATCTGATGGTCGAAAATTATGAGTAGTAAAATGGATGTGTGCATAACAATCTTATGAAAGTGCTGACAATTTGTTATCGCCACATGGTAATGATATTTGGCTTCCTCGAAAACACACAATCTAATTCATAACTTCCCTTGTAAAACTAGTGCGTACGAAATTATATCAAGAGGGAAAAAGGAGTGGATTCCACCTATAACCAAAACTCTAGTTGATCACATTTTCATTTTTTTTTTTTTTCGTTTCCGATTTATAACTTCCTCAATTTCAGAGAGATTCTTCTCCTCGTCCACACCGGTATTTAATCCTAAATGTTATTTTCATCCGATGTGTTGAATCTAATGACCAGAAATAAAGAAACACGTGAAAAACTAAAAAAGTGTATAAAAATCAGCTCCCAATAATATTATTGTTCCAAAATCTTTGAAGTAGAATTAATGAAATCCTATCGTAAATATAGACGCCCACATGTCTTCCATCGCCCATACCTTTACAAAATTGTCAAAGAAAGTGGCTTGGTAGGTTTGTTAGGTTGAAAGGCACTTTGCCTTTTGCCTATAAAACAATCATCCAAGCAAGAGAAGAGAACGTACGGCAAGAGAAGAGGAAAGAAAGACAGAAGGGAATGCGGAAGAAAAATATCAAGAGAGGAGAACATATGATGTTTATTTTCGGGAAGAGATCATTACTCCTGCACCCGCTTTTCTCCGAATCAAATCTGCAAGAACGAGAAAGGGACAAAACAACATTAGTATCAAAGTGAGATGTACAACAGATGCAGCAGCAATCAAATATACCATATAATTTGTTTATTGTCCAAGTGAGAATTGCAAGACAACACAAGCAGTTCAAGTGAATCGGTGATCACTGCTATCCCGCGTTCCTCAAACATCATATGACGGTATATTTTGGACGCTAATCATATAGTAATGGTTCAGAATCAACAAACTAAGGCCAGGAAGCTTCGGAATTGTCGTCAGCAGTGGGATGTCTAACTGACAGTCATTCAGAGCAACTGTGTTTCAGCATTAGACCATTAGGCCAAAATTTGTGGTAGTAACCAGGAACGGCACGTGCATTCCCATATCATTCACATTCTGAATCTTGAGGAATTTCCTTCCCCATTGCATGCGAAAAATCCTAATCGGGCAGGCAGAACTGGTTTTCCTATCACTTGACTTCATTAGCAACCATTATCATATGATGTTTATTTTCAAAAGTCCACGAATTTTTTCTTTTTATCCAGAGATCCCAAACCTGCTTTGCGAACTCAGATGTGAAACTGGGGCCTCCGAAAAACTCTAAAATCTTTGGGAGGAAGGAAACTGTTGTAAATAGCTACATAGGTATCTTGAGGAACCAACTCCACGTGGGAGCAAACGACCATCCTAACAAGTTGAGTAAACCCGCAAAAACTTGGATGATACTAATGATCAACATCAACATATCTGGGAAAGCATTACCCTGAAGCAGTTTCAGTAATACTACATCTGAGCTTGTGTCCATTGTGTTCTCTTGCATGACATTTTCATCTTGGAAAGGAAACCGGAGCCATGCGCTTTTCGGCCACAGAAACAGAAAAGGATAAGAGAGCTACCTAAGCAAAAGATGCAGGAAAGAAAGAATTTTAAAACAAAATTACATTTTAATCCAAAAAAAATGCACAAACAATTCATTTGAATATAAGGGGTGAACTATGCTAGTTAAAAGCACAAGATGCTATGGGACAAAAATAATTGAATCCCTGAGATATGAACAGTAATAGGGCTAACGGTCAGAACTCTAGACAAAAGTATCCATGAAACAACAGGAAATTCAGATGCACAAACAGACTTTAATATTGAAGAATGGGCGATACCACTAATCAATTCATCTCATCCTTGAAATAGAATACAAACACTTTCCTTCTCACTTTTTCACACTATATATAATCAATACGGAAATAAACAAACATTTTTGTCTCTTTTTTATTTCAAATCTTAATAAAAGTATTAACCCTGCATAAGCAACTAACCAAGCAAAACCAGTGCCTTACGGGCACCTTAGCCTTCCAAATTAATAGAAGGAAAGAGATTTATTGTCGCATAACTTTCTAACACGAGAGTTACATAAAAAGCTTGAAGATTTCAAGCTCCATCTACTAGCATAGAAATGAAAATAGCTAGAAATTCTCTGACAGCAACAGCAAAGATAGCTCGCCAATGTCCAAATCTGTATAACTTCTCCTGAAGCTGAATCCCAACTAAATGGAACTAAAGAAGACACTAGCAATGGATCTCCATAGCACCTAAATAAAGTATGCCACGCTTCTTGTTTTGTTAATTAGACATAGAAATCTAAACCTGACCTGTGGTCACTTACTTTATTGGATCATTCCCTGGCATAACAGTTCATTGCAAATGCATGGATGCAAGTAGGGCAGTAACAAATAAACATGGTAACCTATGAATTATTAAACTCGTAAGGAGCAAGTTCTTACAAAAATGGAAAATCATCTCCTATTCTAAATAGGATGCTGAAGCTCACTTAGAAACCTGAAGTTCTTCTTTCATAATTTAAGGGGGGGAAGGGCCATCTAATTGCCTTACCATGACCACATGAATCAAAACAATTATATGCAAGAAGGCAAATAAATGTGATTGAAGGACAAATAAAGTCTTGTAGATAATATAATGCACTAGTCGAGCCACCTTTATTTGAGAAGATAAATTAAGTTAATGGTCCACACCTACAATATTAGTATACAAGCAATAAAAGATGTTTTGAGGTTTAAGAGAGTGAGAAAGAAAGAGCAATACCTTTCAAGTTGTTATGCTCAAGAAATTGCCTTGTACCCTTCCTTCTCTAGTACTTCTGCTAAGGAGATGTCACCTGTCTTTATAATTTTCCCATCCTCCTATAAAATCATTTAATTAAATAATTAGATCAATACTGAAATAGAACCTAGGAACAGTTTTAGAAGCTTAATGTATTCCTCACAATGATAACTTATTGATTATCCTGTACAATGTTCTAGCAGCCAAATTATATAACCGTTTTTCAATTGCCTTCTAAAAGCTAAAAAAAATTCAAAAAACAAGAGAAATTTCTTCTTTTTCCAATCTTCGTGAGTTGATATAGTTCCAAGGTTATGCCCAATTCATATATCTCCTAAATAACATGACGTTATCTTGGTTGTATTAATTCTACTAGTATGTGGAGCTTCTACATTCTAACTCTCAAATCTTGCCCACCCTGTTCACTCTTAAGTAAAAACAAATATACCAGGAATCCTGGGGAAGAATGCATGAAACAAGCCCTATTTGCTGATGTCCTATCCACTAAACCTTTAACAGACTTGCTTATAGGAAGCCATGACATGAAGATAGAACAGCGAAAAATCCAATCAATATGTTTATGCAATCCCAGAAAAATTACTGGACACATGAAACTAATAAACTCATTTACCTTGTCATACTTTTTTTTGAACCACGTCTTATATAGAGTATCCTTATTACATTTCCTTTTTATTTTCTAATTTCATGAGACAAATACATGAACCAAGACCCAAAACCTGTCTTGTCAATGTATGTTTTCACATCTTCCAATGACTTACCATAATATGGATACATGTTGGCTTTATAAATTCCAGAAGTCGTAGATAATGAGTAATCATCAATACAGAATTTGTCGGAGTCAGATGCCCATTGACTGCCTTTGCTACATCTCGAAGTGCATCGACATCCAGCCCAGAATCAATTTCATCCAAAATAGACAAATCTGCTCCCAAAACCTGCATTTAGCAGAAGTGTGTGAATACAAAGACAAGTAATGAAGTACGTACAGCTTACATGAATTCCAAGGAATGACAATATCTCCGGGGAAGAAACCCACTTCCCACAGCTTTACATAATTCTACAAATATTGTAATTATGCTATATATTCAACACAAACTTGATACCAGGCATTTTCTTGCAAATGAAGTTTTGATCAAGATTACAAAAGCAGCAGTAATATTAACTAAGAATGATAGCCATACTACCGCCAGTTGCAAAATCTCGTTGCGCTTCTTTTCACCTCCACTGAAGCCTTCGTTAACATTTCGATTAAGGAAGTCGGTCTTCATGTTGACAAGATCAAGTTTAGGAAATATATAAGCATAGAACTGCAAGGACATAAATAAAGATAAAAGAATGAATCAATAAACCACCAGAGACATCTCAAACAGCGGCTTCGGACAAGAATGAATGGTTGTAGCTCGCTTGCCTCAATCGGTCCAAGCTCGGGCAGTCCTACTTTCTTTCTGCGAGCATTGTACGCCATGTTGAGAAAATCAATGTTGGTGACACCAGGGATCTCAACTGGGGACTGGAAACTCATAAAAAGCCCCGCAAGTGACCGGTCTTCCGCTGGCATTTCAAGCAAGTTTTCCCCTTTAAACACAACACTACCTCCGGTAACTTGGTATTCCGGATGCCCAGCCAGAACCTGAACCAATGAACAAACGAATGTAGACAAGAATGACAAAATTAGGGTGCGTTTGGAAGTCTTATAAAAGGACTAAAAATGCTTTTGATGAGAGTGTCTTTGAAAAGTGAATCCTAGAAAAGCACCTAAAGTCAACCTAAACACACTTCCACCAAAAGCACTTTCACACTTCATAAGGAGCCCTTGATAATACGGACCTTGGCGAAAGTGCTCTTCCCTGAACCGTTCTTTCCCATAATAGCATGAACCTCTCCTTGGTAGACAGAGAGGTTGACGCCCTTGAGAATCTGCTGTTTGGATTCGGCAATCACGGCCGTTAGATCCTCAACTTGGAGTAGCAGCTCCTTCTCTCCTTCCCCTCCTCTACTGCTGAAAACTGAAGTTTCCACGGCGGAGGAGAGGCTACCTGTCACCTTCATCTTCACCGCCGTCAGAGACCGCAGCTGCCGGTGGCATGATGGCCAACAGAGGGGGCGGAGGGCAGAACCTGTAAATACTGGGGACTTGGAGGGTGAATAGCTGCAAACAACACAAGTAGCAGAAGAAGAAGATTGCAGTGGGGATGGTGGTGGTAGGGCGGGAAGAGTACAGGGATAATGGAATCGCGACAGCGCCATTGGATTGTTACCGCTGCAAGTGCAAAAAGCCCAAAATACAATTCAATAGGGATGCCTAACTGTAAATTAAGGGTAAATTACATTTTACCCATTAACCTCGTACAACATTTTAAAACATTTCAATCTCATACATTTAGTATTATTTTATTTCAATTTCATATAATCGTTAAAAAATCTGTTAAAACTCCGCCTATGTAATTTTACATTGCCGGTCCCAAGCCCGGATAAAGGAGGAGGGGAAGGGCCTCAGGTAGTCGACAGCCGGCACTCCATGATCACGTCGAATCCTTATGAAAATGAATCCAGAACAAAATCGCGCTAAAGCTAGGGCGTCACCCGTAAGTGGCGCGCTGTGTGGCCCGAGCACAGTGATAAGTGAGCAAGGGTCGCTGTATCTCCATCGGCACCCGGATGCAGTGTTAAATGAGCAAGGCGGGCCGTAGAAACTTCTTTTCGAACGACTCCACTCAAAGTTGTTTGGGAGCATATGCTCCTATCAACTTTACACGGGACACACAAAAGAAGTACTTTGATCCTATTAGACGAGGGAGGGTGAAGAAGCTAGGACAGAAGGGTAGAGTTCAAGAGAGCAAAATGCGTTTAGGAACGTGGAATATAGGAACCTTAACGGGAAAATCTATGGAAGTAGTGGAAGTTATGGTGAGGAGAAGGATAAATATTATGTGCCTACAAGAAACTAAGTGGGTTGGTAGTAAGGCAAAGGATCTAGAAAACTCAGGGTTTAAACTTTGGTATTCGGGCACAAATAGAACGAGAAACGGTGTTGGCATCATCGTGGACAAGACCTTGACACAAGATGTTGTAGATGTCAAGAGGGTAGGAGATAGAATCATGGCAATCAAGATTGGTAATAGGACAAGAACTTATCAATGTGATTAGTGCGTACGCACCTCAAGTAGGGTTGGATACGAGTTCGAAGGAGAAATTTTGGGAAGACCTTGGAGACTTGGTGCAAGGAATTGCTCAGACGGAGAAGTTATTTATAGGAGGAGATTCTAAATGGACACGTGGGCAGGGAGACAGGCAACTATGGAGGTTTTCATGGTGGCCATGGTTTTGGGGAGAGAAACGAGGATGGGGAAGCTATCTTGGATTTTGCAATGGCATATGATCTCTTCTTAGCCAACACCTTCTTTAAGAAGAGAGAAGAACATGTGATCACCTACAAGAGTGGGTCGTCAAAAACACAAATAGATTTTCTTCTAATGAGGAAAGGGGATCGTATAACTTGTAAGGATTGCAAAGTTATACCAGGAGAGAGCGTGGCTAATCAACATCGCTTGTTGGTGATGGATGTACATATCAAAAGAGGGAGACAAAAGAACAAGACTTGGAAGTGCCCAAGGACTAGATGGTGGAATCTAAAAGAAGAAAAACAAGCCATTTTCAAAGAGAAGGTAATCACCCAATGTGTGTGGGATAGAGAGGGGGAAGCTAGCCAAATGTGGGATTCCATGGCTAGTTGTATCCGAAAAGTAGCAAAAGAGGTATTAGGAGAGTCCAAGGGCTTTGCCCCACACCAAAAGGAATCTTGGTGGTGGAATGAGGAGGTACAAACAAAGGTGAAGGCTAAGAAGGAATGTTGTAAAGCCTTATACAAGGAGAGGACCGATGAAAATGGTGAAAGGTATAGAAAAGCGAAGCAAGAGGCGAAGAAAGCGGTCAGAGAAGCTAAGTTAGCGGCTTACGACGATATGTATAAACGACTAGATACCAAAGAAGGAGAGTTGGATATCTATAAACTAGCTAGAGCAAGGGAAAAGAAGACAAGGGACCTAAACCAAGTGAGGTGCATCAAGGATGAGGATGGAAAGGTTCTTGCTACAGAGAACGCGGTTAAAGACAGATGGAGAGGTTATTTTCATAATCTTTTCAATGAAGGACATGAAAGGAGTGCTTCTTTAGGGGAGTTGAGTAACTCAGAAGAGTGTAGAAACTACTCTTTTTATCGTCGAATCCGGAAGGAAGAAGTGGTTGTAGCTTTGAAGAAGATGAAGCATAGAAAAGCAATAGGCCCAGACGATATACCAATCGAAGTGTGGAAAGTTTTGGGAGAGACAGGTATAACATGGCTCACTGACCTTTTCAATAGGATTTTGAAAACGAAGAAGATGCCAAATGAGTGGCGAACGAGCACTTTGGTGCCTATCTACAAGAATAAGGGCGACGTACAAAATTGCATGAACTATAGGGGTATTAAGCTAATGAGTCATCATACAATGAAGCTCTGGGAGAGAGTCATTGAGCATAGATTGAGGCAAGAGACACGGGTTTCGGACAACCAATTCGGGTTCATGCCAGGGCGCTCAACCATGGAGGCAATCTATCTCTTACGAAGATTGATGGAAAGATATAGAGATGGGAAAAAGGATTTACACATGGTCTTTATAGATTTGGAAAAAGCGTATGATAGGGTCCCAAGAGACATTCTTTGGAGGATTTTAGAGAAGAAAGGAGTACGAGTAGCATATATCCAAGCTATAAAGGATATGTATGAAGGAGCAAAGACTGCCGTAAGAACTCATGAAGGACAAACCGAAAGCTTTCCCATAACTGTAGGATTACATCAAGGCTCATCCTTAAGTCCTTACCTTTTTGCGTTGGTAATGGATGAGTTAACAGGACATATTCAAGATGATATTCCTTGGTGTATGCTTTTCGCAGACGATATAGTGTTGATAGATGAAACTCAGGAAGGGGTAAATGCAAAGCTTAACCTTTGGAGAGAAGTGTTGGAATCTAAAGGTCTTCGCCTAAGCCGATCAAAGACAGAATATATGGAGTGCAAGTTCAGTGCAAATGGAGGCCAAAACGAGTTAGGGGTGAGGATCGGAGATCAAGAAATACCAAAGAGCGACCGTTTTCGTTACCTAGGATCTATCTTGCAAAAGAACGGAGAATTAGATGGAGATCTCAACCATAGAATACAAGCTGGATGGATGAAGTGGAAGAGTGCATCCGGCGTGTTGTGTGACCGCCGTATGCCACTGAAGCTCAAGGGAAAATTTTATAGGACGGCAATAAGGCCGGCGATGCTGTATGGCACAGAATGTTGGGCGGTGAAAGCATCAACACGTACACAAAATGGGTGTAGCGGAGATGAGGATGCTTCGTTGGATGTGTGGGCACACGAGAAAGGATAAGATTAGGAATGAGGATATCCGGGGTAAAGTAGGAGTAGCCGAAATTGAAGGAAAGATGAGAGAAAATCGGTTACGGTGGTTTGGACATGTGCAAAGAAGGCCTACTGACGCTCCGATTAGAAAGATGCGACTATGGGACAGAGGTTCAGGGCCGAAGGGGTAGAGGAAGACCTAGGAAAACTTTGGAAGAGACTCTAAGAAAAGACTTAGAGTACTTGGATCTAACGAAGGACATGACACAGGACCGAGCACAATGGCGTTCTAAGATTCATATAGCCGATCCCACTCAGTGACTTGGATTTTCCAAGTCTCCAACCGAGAAGTTTTCCTCACTCGGGAAAATTAAGGGAACACTACCCCAACCTACATGCTCCACTCAGAAAGCTTCAACATACAAGCTTCAACAAAAGAAAATTCAAAGAACTTAGCGAAGAAGGCTTTGGTGTATTTAACACAATACGTTGAAATGAAGGAAAAGCTTATTTATTGATATCCCCGATAAGCTACAAATATGTACATATACATGAGTCAAAATAAACAAACAAGAGGGAGCCTTCACAAAGGTTGCTTAGGAGAAGTCTCAGCAGTCGGTAGAGCCCCAGAAAGAGAAGGCACCGGAGGGGGATCATTTCGGAGCCTCAGTACTGGACAGAACCCTAGAAGGAGGAGGCATCAGAGGTTGATCATTTGGAGCTTCATTACGCGGTACAGCCCCAGAAGACGAAGGCAATAAATGCCTTTGGAACAAACCCACAAATCTCTGATGATCAAGTAAAACCTGACCATCAGTTTCCTTCATCTGGTCAAGCTTCCTCTTCATGTTTGTAGCATAGTCATGTGCGAGCCGGTGCAACTGTTTATTCTCATGCTTGAGCCCTCTAATCTCCTGTTTGAGACTCATCACTTCAGCCGCCAATGATTCAACTTGGCGGGTTCGAGCAAATAGGCGTTGGGCCATATTAGACACAGAACCTGCACACTGAACACTGAGAGCCAGCGAATCCTTAACAGCTAACTCATCAGACCGTTTGGAAAGTAGTCTGTTATCTTTGGGAGTGAGAAGGTTCCTGGCCACCACCGCAGCGGTCATATCATTCTTCATCACGGAATCCCCAACGGTAAGAGGACCAGTAGGGGAGACGAAGGATGGGCGCCATATGTTGTCTGGAGAAGGCGGGGCTGCCTCTTCAACAAGGTTCAAGTCAAAACGACGGTCGGAGGGGCCAGACATTTTCAAAGGTGTTGAAGAGAGAAGAGGTCGGACAAATCAAGATCTTAGAAGTGCAAGAATGGAGCTTCTACTGGTGGAGATTCAAGTGTGCTTTGGAACTTAATGCCAGCCCCTATAAAAATCTGCACTCGACGGAGCTTCAGAAATCGAAGAGGCGCCTGCTCAGAAATCGAAGAGGCGTTTGCTTTCTCAAAAGCTGGGCTGCTTAGAGACCACGAGGGTTGATCTCAGAAATCGAAGAGGCGTTTGCTTTCTCAAAAGTTGGGCTGCTCAAAGACCACGCGAAGGCCGATCTCAGAAATCGAAGAGGCGCTCGCTTTCCTCAAAAGCTGGGCTCCTCAGAGACCACGAGGGCCGATCTCAGAAATCGAAGAGGCACCTACTTTTCCAGCCTTGTCAGCACCTGTCACACGCACACTCAGCTTTGCGGAAATTATGGGTATTCTGTCGAAGACTTCTGGGGAAGTAGAAAACACATGAATCTTACTGTTCCAATCACCCACTTCCCACACGCAACAATAGCTCATGGGTACCACAGATAACTTTGCCAAAGTTCTCTGCCAAAGTTGAGCACGTGAAGCTTGCAGCTCCCACTACATCGCTCTGACCAAGAAGGGTAAAAGAATAGCAAAGAAACAGCACTAACAAAGTTTAGACCCATAAATTTTGAAGGTCTAGCTACCATATTATTACCCACAAGGGTAAAGGAACAGTACCAC